CTGATAAACCTTTTGATATATCGATGAAACACATTTGAAGCTGATAGACGCACACAAACGCCACATTTAAATTCAAAATGTCTCATTCGCGCAATAGCGCAAGCGCTCGTATGACGTCACGGCGTTCTAGAAGAAAATTTTTAATAATAATAGGCAATGTCTAGCAATACGGAAGTCGGTAAAATAGCGAGTGCAAATAAGAAAAAATTATACAGGGTACATAATTTTTTGTTTTTGTGTCATTTTCTGGGACGATTAAGATTTTAGATCGTGAATTACAAAACTTAGAAAATAAATTGGGATTAAAAAATGCTGGGTAGAAAGTATTATTTGCTCTCAGAAAGGAACAAATTCAATGGTAAATAATTATGTCTTAACAAGCTAAGTAACTGTAGCATTGGCGCAACTGTCCACAGGATCGGCTCCAGGACTGAACAGATTTGTATTTAATTAATTTGAAGTTTGAATATATTTAGGTATTATATTTACAATGATAATTCGTTATGTAGAGAAAAATAGGTACAGGTATAGATATGGGTAAATAAAGATAGATACATACTGATTTTTAGATTGTAAATTGCAGGTGATCATACGGAAAATAACTGTATACTTTGTTTAGATGGACCGTACTCAATATTTAATAATTTTATTGGAAAGTTATCAAATATTTTTTAGAAGTAACACATTTTTTAATAAACATTTCAATATCTTGGATTGTTTAGGATTCTTGAAAGGGAATAAGAACATTTTATTTATATTTCTTAATAAACATAGTAGGGTGCAAAAAGTCACATGGTCAATTCTGTTATTCTTGTCAAAAGTTGTTAAATAGTCTATATATATATACGAGGGAGGTTATAAAATTATAAGAATAACTTTTTTTGTAATAATTTAGAATTATCTTGTTGCATACTTCTTGCATTACATTGCAAATACATCGACGGATCCATAGAGACCAAGCTGGACTTTTACCCCTCTCCATATTTAGCTGCAAACTGAGGTCAGGATGGTCTCCTACAGACTCCTAAAGGTGGGTAGTCCATGCAAAGAAAAACTGCGATGAAACAAGACGAGGCTGATGAGTGAGACATCCTCGGCATGATCTCGGATTCGCTAGTTCTCCGAAAGCACATAAAAAGGCATACACCGTCGTCATTCCAGAGAGAGACGTATAAGAGCAGGAGGAATAAAACCCCCGCCCAGGCGGACTATGAGTTGTACACGGACGGCTCCAAAAGAAGTAACGGGTTGTTCCCTTAGAGGCAAAGAGATGACTTATCAAGGGCCGATTCCACCATTGTGTTTAACGGAGATTAAAATGACATTGTTAATGTAAAAATGTCATTTTAAACTTCGTTTAACACAACGGTGGAATCGGCCCTAAGTGCTGATTCCACCGTTGTGTTAAACGAGGATTAAAATGACACTTTTAACGTAAAAATGCCATTTTAATCTTCGTTTAGTAATTTAAACTTCGTTTAATACAACGATAGAATCAGCCCTAATAGACATAGGCTCTCTGGCCACGATCTTAAAAATGATTGCTATAGAATTGGGAGCGAGAGAGTCAACTAATTTTCTCCCCGCAATCAAAACTATGAAAATCTTTTCGGATAGCCAGGCAGCCCTCAAGGCCCTGAGCTCCAATCGAGTTGTTTGGAACTGTATAAAAACCCTTGAATGTATTGGTACCCGGAACAATAAATTTCTTTGATCTGGGTTTCGGGACACAGCCGCCACGCTTACTAAAAGATCAACCAAATCTGAGTTCATAGGACCAGAAGCATTCCCAGGCATTGCAAAGAGCACTGCCAAGGAAAGTATCTCAAAATGGACGATGTAAACACTCACGAACTGGAGAAGATACCAAAGGACTAACTCATTCGAAATCGTTTATGACCAACTCTTCCATAAACGCCTCTGCACAGATCCGAGAATGGAGTAGGAAAGATCTACGCATTTTCAAGGGACTGATGACGTGATGACAGGACACTGCCTCTATGTAACCACATCTAACTTTTATGCTCTCACTGTTATAGATATGAAACGTGTTTATTAAATCCCTCGAAAAAAGTCAGATTTGAAACAGCTATATCTATTTTAAAAAACTTTATTTTTAGATGTACATCACGTACATAACGTAATTGTACTGCTACTTGGCTATGACAGCCAGCCACATAGCACACGGACGTCTTATGGGACAAAGGACGTCCGAGGACGTCTTCTTTGGTACCAGGACGTCAATCAGACGTCCAATAGACGTCCAAATGTCCCGTTTCCGTCCATTTTAGGGACGTCCCTGGGACATCTCAAAAGGACGTCATAGGGACATTTGTGGGACGTCCTAGGGACGTAAATCAAACTTCCGAAGGACGATATTTGACCATAATCCATAAAGGGTAATAACAAAAATGTGAACAATAAAAGGGCTTTATTTAACAACTTTTATCCTGAAAAAACTAGCTAGAGTTAAACTATTGCAAAAAAACGTTGAATTTCAAGTTATCGATTCAAAGACCAACGATGCTAGTACATAGAAAGTCCCATAGACGTCCCATGGATGTCCCATTAACGTCCTGGACTCGAACCGAAAACTAAACGCTTTGTCGAAACGGGACCAAAGTAGGACGTCCAAAGGACGTCCGTCGAAGGACTTCCTAGTGTTCACGTTTAATCGGAAATCCAGTGAACGTCCTATTTAGGTCCGGGACCAACCGGACCATCAAGGGACCAAATCAGGACGCCCATGGGACGTCCTATGCTATCTGGGAACCCAATAAACACAGTTAATAGGCACTGTAACTGGGCCGAAGGAGGCTTGCCGAATGACGTACTCGGCCCGATATACGGATGCAGCTTTGGCATATAGGTAGGACATGTCCGCCCAGCCGAATGTCGGCAGCCCATTACATTGTAGCGCGTTTTTATATCTATATATAGTTGGACCCGTAAGGATGTCTCCCATGTCTGCAAAGCCAAATATGGACCACTTGCCGTTTCTACTTCTAAATTACGTCAAATGGTACGGTACTCCCGGCTCAGAAGAAACCCCGACAACGGCGATCCGAGTACTCGGCTTCCCGTACATTCCGGTGTCAGGCCGAGCGAATGCCAACTATTTTTGATTTACTGGGTAATTACTGCGCATGAGTATCAACCTGTAGTGACGTTGTACGCGAAATGAAAACGGCGTACTCTTTGGTACTAGAAATAGCGTTCCATTATATGAAGATAATAATTATATTAATAGGTAATAATAATAATGAAATGCCTTTATTTGTATTGTTATATACATACAGTAAACAATTTAAAGAGGCGAAGATTAAAAACATTAAAAAAAACATTAAAAATACACATTAAAAAAGAAATGTAAACTAAAAGTTCAATTTAGTGACAATTTTTAAACATATTATGAAATTATATTTAACGTATATGTTTTATAAGTAATACACCTTTCCCCTTATTCGATCATTTCGCATTACTCATGCGCGAAAAAGTGCGGGTCTTTTGAATCTAGTAATTTTTGAAGCAACTTATTTTCTCTCTCTCTCTTATCCTCCCCTATAGAGAATTATTGTTGTGTTGGCTACAACGGTTGTCCCCTCCATGGTTGTCCCTGTCTGTCATCGTTCCAATACCTGTGTCATGTTAGCAAGTAGCCAGCCAGCAATAAATTCAGGTGGACGCCAAAACGCCAGCGGTCATACTAAATTTTTAACATCTAATTAATTTAAGTTCCGACAAAAATAATATATTTAATCATAATTTGTTGCATTATAATTATTATAACCCTTTCATAAAATTATAATAAGGGATGTAGAGAGGGCTAAAGCTTTTATTACTAGCACAAAATTTGTGTTTGACAAAAATTTATTTAGGTCATTGGATAGATAATAAAAAAACAAAAAACTTTTTCAAATACCATTTTAAATGCTATATGGGTAAAAAGAGATTTAGAGGGCTTCGAAATTTCAAAGTTTTTATTGCTGAACCAAAATTTGTTTTTTTTGAAAATTCATTTAAGCCATTCGAAAGATAATAAAAAAACAAACAACTTTTTCAAATACCATTTTAAATGCTATATGGGTAATAAGATATTTAGAGAGCTTTGAAATTTCAAAGTTTTTATTGCTGAACCAAAATTTGTTTTTTTTGAAAATTCATTAGGGCCATTCGAAAGATAATAAAAAAACAAACAACTTTTTTAAATACCATTTTAAATGCTATATGGGTAATAAGACATTTAGAGAGCTTTCAAAGTTTTTATTGCTGAACCAAAATTTGTTTTTTTTTTTGAAAATTCATTCCAGCCATTCGTAAGATAATAAAAAAACAAACAACTTTTTCAAATACCATTTTAAATGCTATATGGGTAATAAGAGATTTAGAGAGCTTTGAAATTTCAAAGTTTTTATTGCTGAACCAAAATTTGTTTTTTTTTGAAAATTCATTCAAGCCATTCGAAAGATAATAAAAAAACAAACAACTTTTTTAAATACCATTTTAAATGCTATATGGGTAATAAGAGATTTAGAGAGCTTTGAAATTTCAAAGTTTTTATTGCTGAACCAAAATTTGTTTTCTTTGAAAATTCATTCAAGCCATTCGAAAGATAATAAAAAAACAATCAACTTTTTTAAATACCATTTTAAATGCTATATGGGTAAAAAGAGATTTAGAGGGCTTCGAAATTTCAAAGTTTTTATTGCTGAACCAAAATTTGTTTTTTCTGAAAATTAATTTAAGCCATTCGAAAGATAATAAAAAAACAAACAACTTTTTCAAATACCATTTTAAATGCTATATGGGTAATAAGATATTTAGAGAGCTTTGAAATTTCAAAGTTTTTATTGCTGAACACAAATTTGTTTTTTTTTTGAAAATTCATTCAAGCCATTCGAAAGATAATAAAAAAACAAACAACTTTTTTAAATACCAGTTAAAATGCTATATGGGTAATAAGACATTTAGAGAGCTTTCAAAGTTTTTATTGCTGAACCAAAATTTGTTTTTTTTGAAAATTCATTTAAGTCATTCGAAAGATAATAAAAAAACAAACAACTTTTTCAAATACCATTTTAAATGCTATATGGGTGTTAAGATATTTAGAGAGCTTTGAAATTTCAAAGTTTTTATTGCTAAACCAAAATTTTTTTTTTTGAAAATTCAAT